TAATTTTATGTTAGGATGGCTAATTTAAACTTGGATATAGCGTAAGAGTGAATTAATGTTGATATTTTAAAGTGCAAGTGGGAGAAGCATCCGTAAATTATAAGTATTGTTATTCATCATAGTTTTTCAGATTGTTCCACATTTTGAAAGCTTCAGCTTTACTTTGTGCATGCACATGTATCAGCATTTACACAGTGTTTCTGTATTATTATTAATTACAATTTTGAAACAATGTGTTCTTATTATTTTAGATTACTCAAACACTCGCGTTTAAGAAAACATCATTGAAAAAATGTTGGAAAAAATTGTCGGAGCTATGTTCGCAAGTAAACAAGACGTGCATTAAAAAATTATAATCGCTAAAAATAAACGATACACTTATCGATATGGAACGCACGTGCGTGTACGTGGGTGCGCGTGCGCGTATTAATGTATAACTTTCACTTAATTGTCGTATTTTTTAAAAAAGGCACGTTTATTTCTGGATATATCGTTCTTTCTCTTATTTATAAATGAAAAAAAGAATATTTTTGTCTCCGATGTTATCATTATATTATCTTTTCTATTTGTTGTGTTGTAGTAGTTGTTATCGCCATTAACATTTTTTCTCTATCGGCAAGTTTTCATATTATTGTTGCTGCTGCTATTGTCACTCCTGCTACTATTGCCTCTAACTATTACACTCTCTACTGTGACCGTTACTTTTATTTTATATATATATTAGTTACCGTTACCGTCGTCGCCTCCACTGTTGATACTACAGATACTACCCTTTTTCCATCGAAAGTCAGTTAATATGCCGGAAGAAAGTAACACGTTTACTTTTACAGCTCGGAGAAAGATATGTGCAGACATTTCGTTGCTTGTTAAGCTCGCTTGGAATACCTTTTTTCTCTCATCGGGCATCGTTTCCGTCTCATTCGGTATCCTATCATAAATGTTCATAAATTACGATAAGTATACGGATTGAAGTATAATTTATGGCCTTATCAATCATTTCTGGATTTCTTCTTGGTTAGCTCTAAGCTCAATACTAGATCACGCATATAGTAAGATACAAATGTCGAATTATATTGACTATAAAACTCGAATCGCGTTTACAATATCCTTGTTCTTCATTTCACAATGACAGCAAAACGGTTATAATAAACGACCGTCTTGGATTTTCGCTCTTTCGGATTCTTTTCGGACTTTTCGTTATCACAAAGAACGAAATCTTCAACACTTGTTATTGCGTTTCGTAAACTAAAAATACATAAATGCAGCCATAAGTGAAAATGTGAAACAAGCGAAATATCGATTGCAAAGTAACTTCCAAGACGCAAAACAAACGAAGATTTCTCTCTCTGTCTTTTTACGGTAACGAGAAATCCGCGCAAATCGCACTGTCGTTCCTTCGGCGGTCCACGAATCGTCGCGCTTATTATGCATGACCAATGACAAACCAGAGCTCCGAGCCACATTTATATTTCTCTGCGACTAAAGATGCAGCAGAAACGAAGTACTCGAGCAACGTACGTGGCTCGCAGGGACACTTCAACAGGCTGTCAGTAAGAGTATCGGCGGATATTCAGTAGCAACTTCCTTCGATACCACTGCCGATCTGCTCTCGATCGATCCCGATTTAATCCTCAAGCCCGCTCCTCCTTAAACCGTCTTTCCCCTCAACCAGCCGACCTGCCCATATTTTGACTGTCAACGAAAACCTCACATTTTGGCCCTTAACACCTTGGCATATCACCCTGTCTCTCTAGCCCTAATCATGCAAGAATACTTAGCAGCGTATCGTAACTAATCTTGTCCAGTGATATTAATAGCAGTCGTATCTTTGTTCTTGTTTGTTCCCGGTCCCGCTCGCTCGGCTATACGTTTGGCTCTGGTTCGTCATTGTTCTGTGTGTACCTAATACCCGCTACCTTCACGAACACGGACTTGCGCTGGGGGTCCATCCACACACGTGGCTCTCCGTGTGCCTCCTACACCACAAATATTGGTTCGTATAATGGAAATATTTCTTTTTAATTGGGTGTCGATGCATATGTAACGGACTATGGTACTTGATTTCATTCTCTCTCTTTTTTTTCCTTTCTCTCTCTTTCTCTCATTTTTCTTTCTTTTTTTTCAAATCTCTTTGCATACTTCACGTTTTCTCCCTCTTTTACGCTCGTTCATATCTGCATTTATGTATCTGTCTATGTCTATATTTTACGTTATCTACATTTCTATCTACCTGTATGTATATACCTTTACTTTTTCGTTTCTTCATGAACGCACGTTTAAAATCTGCTTTTCATCATATAATTTATCGACTTGTGCACCGCCTCTACTTTTTTTCTATCTGTTATATTTATCAACTCACACGTATAACTTCTCCCTGTCTCGCTTTGCTTGTCTACCGCTTTGTAAAAACGCTCCATCGTATCGCTGTTGCCTCTTTCTTTCTCTTACGTTCGCATTTCTTACGTCTTCGGCGGCATTTCCATCCGAATGGAAAACAAATATCTCTCGCGATCTAAATCTATAAAAAAAAAAAAATCTATGTGTCTGTGTGATCGCGCGGATCTCAGGTCCGCCCTCGGCGATCTTCGCGATACGACTGTCGCACCCGTTACACGGTAGCCTGCTGCCACCAGGAATCTGCTACACGTGCGACGTGTGCGGCAAGACTCTCTCCACGAAGGAGTCCCTAAAGCGGCACAAAGAGCAGCAGCACTTTCAGCCCCTGAACAGCGCGGTCTGCGCGCTCTGCCACAAGGTGTTCAGGACGCTCAACAGCCTAAACAACCACAAGAGCCTCTATCACCGTAGGAAGAAATAGAAGTGATTGCGCACGCGCGTGTCTTACGTGCCAAGAGACATCACGAAACGCCCACAGATTTTTCGCTAACGATATTTCAGAACTTATCGAGGACAAGCACGAGTCGCACGTTTGATTTACGCGCGCGAAGGACGCGGAGCTTTCTCGAGAGAGAGAGAGAGAAAGAGAGAGACTGGCGACATAACGATGGCGACGATATCGATGACTACGACGACGATGACAACGTCGACGTCGACGTCGACGTCGACGGCGACAGCGATGGCGAACGAGCCAAGGAAATCTTATAACGAGCTGTGTCGCCTGTGCGCCTCCTACGACGCCTTTAGGATGCACATATTCGGCCAGGAAGGCAAGAATCGCCAGCTCGTCGACAAGATCCAGACGTGCTTGCCGTTCAAGATAATTGAAGACGATTGTTTGCCAAAAGTCCTGTGTTATCCATGTATAAACAACTTGGAAATTTTTTATGACTTTCGGACTGCGTGTGTTAACGCAGCTGCTTGGTTGGAACGAAATAGGCCGAAGGAAGGCGCGAGTGATGATGGCGCAAATGACAGCGCACAATTCGGCGAGGTGCACGCGGAGCTTCTTAAAGGAAAGGAAAATATGCCAGTACTTATTCCGGAGGCATATGTGGTCAATCCTAATGCGCCATTAGGTACACCACCGAGATTAAATTCGGGTAATGAAGCGGATCCCGAGATCGACACGAGTAAAGGTACGGATGAAGCTACAGTAATCGACGATTCGGAAGATCGACGATCAAAATACGAGATGGCATACGAGATGGACATGGAGACGAATCTTGGCGACTTTTTGGAAATGACCCCAATGGTAACCGAGGAAAATGAAGAGGAATGCGGTACGAACAGTGGAACAGTGGAACAGTGGAACAGTGGAACAGTGGACAGTGGGACTGACCTAAAGCTATTTCTTCTCCTA